GCAAGGTAAAACAGAAATGAGATTCACGGAAAAAAAAAAACCCTGGAAGTAAGGATATAATTTGCATGACATCTAAGTGTCAGCCATGAATAAGGAGAAAAATCAAGGGATGTAGAAACAGTTCAAAAAAGAGAGTTTGTTAAAAGTCCAAACATAAAATTTTTTAAGGAAAAAATTTTCATTATTTTCTGTTTATTACTATTTCAGAGAATAATTTCTTTCTTGGTCAAATATGGTGTAACCAAATGAGAGACAGTCGGATAAGTTAAATTCAATTTAGAACATTTGATTTCAGAATTAAGTCAAACACAAATAAACGTGTATAATTTCAGCCAAACTGGAGGGGGATGGAACCCTGTAGAAAAACCAATTGTCTATCACTGACTTATTAGGTTGAATTCTACCTTCTTTTACAAGCTAATTCCTATTCCCCAAGAAATCTAGACCAATTGCAAATTTTGAACACTGAATCATCTGTTTATTCTAAAAAACACTGTGCAGGACCAACATTAGTCAAATGAGAAACTATTACGATTATTTCTTATTGACTAATTAAGTTGACTCTACTTTTTTGGACATAATAACTCTGTTGCTCGCTAGTCCTTGATACCCTGTTTTTCACCCCAAACAATCACTAAATCATCATTTTCTCACGATTCTCTATTGAGTCACAAGAAAACAAAGAAAAAGGAATCAAAACCAAACAAAATAGTAAAGATTAGAAACTGTGAAGCAAATTGAATTTCAAAGTCAAATCACGGTTAGCACCCTGATTAATCAAAAACTAAAAGACTAGAGAAACTATTCGAGTAACTAACAATCAGGAACTAGTTAAATTAACCGGAAATCACCCAGTTAATTGCTATGAGAAGAATTCCAATTAACATAGAATTAAGATTCAGTATCAAGAAAACTTTACAAAGCAAATCAACAGTTAATTAGTAGTAGCAATATTCACTTTTTCAAAAGAGATTTACTGGAAAACAATACTAGTACCTGACCAATCATCTTATGCTTCAAAACTTTCTCCTTATCAAGAATCTTGATTGCTACATTCTCTCCGGTCTCTATATTCCTCGCAAACTTCACCTTTGCGAATGTTCCTTCCCCCAACGTCTTCCCTAGCTCGTACTTCCCCACACGTGTCCTGCTCCCTGCACTCGTGCGAGCTGCCATCACTTTCTCTGAGATTCCCTTTTATTTCTCTTAAATTTATTTTCCCTTTTTTTTCCCAAAAATATCCTCTATTTCTTTCTGTTTCTTCTAAAGCTTGCTGTTAATCAGAGACCTCTTCTTCTTGCAAGGTTGCCATACCTGAGACTTAGCCACCCTCATTTTTTCTTCCTTTTTTCCTCAAAAAATAAATTGAATTCAAGAAAATCAATTCCCGTTTACCAAGCTTAAAACGGGAAAATAATTTAAAGCTCGACGATTACGGGGAAAATGTTGGAGAGAGAGAAAGGAGAAGCGGTGGCCATGCGATCAGACATGGAACCCATGAAGTCGAAGAAATCAATGGAGGAGAAATCGGCTTGAGCAAGGATCGTAGTGATGCTGAAGGATTTCTGAGCAAATTTCACGTGGACAAGATTGATGATGAAAAGGGCAATTTAATCATTGTACTTTACACTCTTTTTTCCTTTTCCGAGGATTTTGATTTGCACGAAGTTCAAGGGCAACTAGATTGGAGAAATCGAATCAGGAACGTAGATCTATGGAGGTTTTCTTGAGATAATAATAAACTCAGTACCACAACAATGCTGGTTACTGGGAGATTAGTTTGACAACTTCTTTGTTTTTTTGGACTTTACCATTGGTGGGAGAAGAGTTTTTAATGTTTTGGCGGTTTTAACATTTGGGTAATTTATTGGACCAGGAGGAGAGGTGATCCTCTGCTTACAGGAACACCATTGCAACTTATAGTTTTTCCAATTTTTGGCCAAATACATTAGGTTACCCCTCTTCTTTAAATTGCAACCAAATATATTTTAAGAATTTAAAGTTGACGGTTACATTTCTACCATATAGTATTCAATTTGTTGTAAATTATTCTTCGGAATATTCTTCTATGTTTGGTATTGACTGTTGACCCACCGTAAATAAGAAGAAAGAAGAAAAAAATGTGACCAATTACCATATTCTTCCTTTATTTTTGAAATTTCAGCCTTTTTAAGATGATTTGAATATTCTTTGACTCAATAAATACATATATTTATCATTAAATTAAAGATTCAAATATCTAATTGTCACTATCAATATGTCGTGATGTTTTTTATAAATAAACTATGCATAGCACTTTTTTTTCTTATTTAATATTAAATGTCTTTAAAATGTATCAATAAAAGCTATAAATCGCAACAATTTGGTTTACTAATTCATTTGTTAATGAAATAAAATGAGATTAAGATTTTTAACATCATATTAAAAAATACAATAAAATGCCAATTCGTTACAATATATTTTAAGAAAGCAATACAAATATACATGTGTGTGTCTATATACATAATATTTTACTTGAGTATCATTGTTTTAAAATAAAAAAAATTCTTCAAAAATAAAATAAAATGGATATATTATCCAAAAATAAGATATTATTTTAAAGTATAACAAAGTATGAATCATGAAGCATAAGTGCTGGTAGGAATTTCCTTTTCCGGACAAACATCATGATTGCTCTAATGCTATTGGTACCCGGAATCAGAGGATCTAAAGCGGGCACTAGGCAAGGATTCATAGTACCAATAAACAGGTATATGCGTTGCCGAATGTGGGGGTTGTCGTAAGCTTGAAACAATGCGGGTTTAATGGTTTGGCACAGTAGTCAACCACTTTCGACTCTCGGTGGCGGTCGCACGCTCGCCGTCGGTATTGAAAAAGGGCGCCTTTGGATATTCCACCCAAATTACCGGCATTTAACCCGATAAGGTTTTAGATCCGTTTTGTCGTCGCTGCTTTTTAAGGTTTTTTTATAAATATATTAATAAAATGTACAGTCAGCGTTCGATATAGAGTTGGGTTTGAAAACTTTGTACACAAGAAATTAAAAGTGAATGGTCCCGAAAGAATAATATGAGGTTGGTGGTGGATGATTTGAGCTATTCCTTCATATAAAACTAAAAGTAACCTCCCAGAATAATCTCGAAACAAAATTTAATCAACAAAAGGCCACCTTCAACTTCCATGATAAAGACCCTTGGGTGGAAATTTTCTAAACATAATACTAATAAAAAATAAATTACCATGGGAGTTTTAACTTTTAATACATTGGTCAATGGTCATACACATTTTTTAGATGTAATTCTTTTTTCATTATATATTTAAAGTTGTTTTGGTTTTTTCGAGACGGTTTTTAATTATTATAAGTTATATGCAACGAATTTTATAGAGTTTGCGATTATATAAAATTAAATTTAAATTGCGGTCGGTGACATGTGAATCAAGTCATTTACTTTTAACATTGTATAGAAAAGAAATATATCTCTCTCTTTCTTTATATTTTTTTTATTAATCTCCTTTTCGCTTTAAATAAATAATATAATATAATCTGCATGGACTAAATTAAACAACATGATTTACAAATGATGATATAACTATAACTTAATAAACAAAGCAGTAGACACCTGCCTCATATATCACAATTATGAGTGCCTTAACATGACTTGATAGATAGGACAAGGTTAGGATATAACACAACAAAATGAAGTGTTAATAATACATCAACAAGTAATATCATATTACTTTTTGGGCCATAACCCAATTCCTATGTTAAAAAATTACTACTTACACTTTGATTTATATTTTAAGTATTAAGACTTCTAATTTCTTATTTATTTTTTTAATATCAAGTATAAATTATGACGTTTGAAGTTAAAAAATTTTTATTCATTAAAAGATGTAATAAATTTCATATTTTTATATGTTATTTTTACTTCTACTTTTTTTAATAAATTATTATTTTTATTATATGTACAAAATTTTGAAAAAATTTCATACATAAAGTTAAATTTATATGAATAACTTACATTTTGTTAAAATAAAATAATATAAAATGACAAAAATATTGATTTGGTTACAACTTTCACAATTTATAAATACACATTCTTTTGAAATTATTAAATTCTTACTCAATCTACCTTTCATTTAAATTTACTCAAATTAGCAAAATATGTTGATTTAGTTACAACTTTCATAATTTACAAATGGTCAAAAGACCCCTCCAGTCTCTATATTCTTATATTTTATTCAATTTAGTCATTATACTCAAAATCGAAGTAATATAGTTATTTGATTTTAAAAATTATGTCAATTTAATCTCTCCTTCCAATAGCATCCAATTTTATTGTTAAAGGATGACATCAGCAATGCCATGTGACACTATACAATGACATGATAGTGCTGACGTGTCATTGACATACTGACATGTGAGTGTCACGTAACATATCAAAAAAATTTCAAAAAAAAATTCTTTGACGTCATAGGGACTAAATTGAACAAAAATATATAATATAGAGATTAAATTGAATAAAATTGATATGTTAAAAGGCTAAATTAAAAAAATATTTGAAAAGTATAAATATTTAAGTAAATTATTGATATACTTATTAATAAACTAAATATTTAAGTATAAAATATTTATGGTCTTAAAATATATATATATATATATATATTTTCTTGATTGATTATTGAATGTTAGAATATGTAAATTAATTTATCTTTTTTATAAAATTAAATCAACATATTTTACTAATTTGACTTTAGCTCAAGTTATAAACTAAATTAAATAAATTTTAAATTTTCATACTATTATAAATAAAAGAAAAAAAAATTATTTAGTCATTTTATATTCTTTTATTTTAATATAATACAAGTTATTTATCTAAATTTAACTTTAGGTATAATTTTTTAAAAAAATTTTGTTTATAAAAGGAGAATTCAGACTTAATTTTTATATAAAAAATTAATTTACATATTCTATAATCAAATAAGAAAATACTTATAAATATTTTTTAACACCATAAATTTTTAACACTTAAATATTTGACTTAATAATAAGTATATCAATAATTTACTTAAAGATTTATATTTTTTAAAAATTATTTAATTTAGTCTCTTAACATTTTAATTTTTTTCAATTTAGTTATTATACTATATATTTTTGTTCAATTTAATCCCTATGGCGTGATAATTTTTTTTTTAATTTACCACATGATACTAACATGTTAGCATGTCAGTGCCACATCAGCACTACTATGTCATCATATAGTGTCACGTAACATTATCACGTCATCACTTAATGCAACGTGGTATATCTCGTCATCCTCTCAATGTCATATTATTAAAATGTAATACGTCAGTGATGATGTTATTCTTTAATGATAAAATTAAATATCATTAAAAGATTGACTAAATTGACATAATTCTCAAAATCAATGAATTAAATTACTTTAATTTAGATTAAATTGACTAAATTGAATAAAATTAAAGAGTATAAAAATTGAATAGGTCTTTTAACTTATTTTTTTAATAATATGATGGGAGAGTACCTCATGTTAGGTATAAAATATGTTAAAATATTATTCATAACTCATAATTCATAAATTGTGAAATTTTAAGCAGTTATTACAAAGAAAAATGGTTTAATTTGTTGGAGAAACTTTTGCCAATAACATTCAATTGTTCCTATTCTTATTATTTTCTTAAATTGTATTCGGTTCAAGAAATAATCATTTTTTCGTATATCCATTTTCAAAAAGGTTGGAATAGTCATTACCAACTCTATGACTATTTCGAGTTTACAAGAGTAGGCTAAAAAAATGTAAAGTTAAAAAGATAAAGTAAACAAATTAAATTAAAGTTAAAAACCATAGGTTAATCCATTATTGAAAAAAAAAACTTGGAATAATATTTAAAAAAATTTAAATTATTTTGAAATTTTAAATAAAAGTTTTTTCATTAAGTTTAATTAATCTTATATATTTTTATTTTAACTTAATCAAAATATTACTTATCATTTTATATCAAGTGACATTAATATGTCATAATGAATACCAACGTCGATATATTGATGTGATGTAATGAGATGATTATGATATTTTTCAACATTCACGTTAACATCACATGAGTATTAATGATAAGTGATATTTTAATTAATAATAATTAATTAATAATTAATTATAAAATTTTATTTTATTTTAAATAAAAATATAAAAATTTGATTTACTAAAAAAACTTATTAAAAGATTTTTTTTTAACATTATGCTAAAAAAACTAAGCGTTGGGATTAAGCTATATCAAAGGGTAAATTAAGGGAAAAAAATAGAAAGAAAATCAGACGCCATTACGAGTTAAAGCTAGTTGTTTGGTTCCATGATGGGTTCACATGAATCTGAAAGCATTAGAGCACGGCCAACCGGCCACTACGACCATGACAAATGTTATCCGAATGATTAATTATATAATCATGACATTATAGACAGCCACGTAATCAAACGAAAACAAACAAGCAAACATGCCCGTGACGTTAATTTCAAGCCCTGCTGTCGTTGCGTCGTGCGTCATCACACAATCAACAAATTGGAATTAAAATTAAGCGTAAATACGTAAAGCACATTTCCTCGAACTATCATACAAGAGTTTTTGACTTATCCAAAAGGAAGAAAAAGAGAAGAATTTTGATATAACACGTAATTATATAAGATTAGTGGTTACGAAGACTAAGAAAATAAGTAAAACTATAAATTATTGATGACTATGATGAAGCATTTTGAAATGGATCGTACATTTTGGTCCCACATTATCTATATGAACCGTTAAGTTCTTGTTAGCATTGACGGCGTCTACCATGAACATTCATGAACTTGACATTAGGGCGAACCTTATTACTACGTGTTGTGCTATTATAGATTTTGTTCATGTAATGGAATAATTCTATGTAGTTGGTTGGCCTACTCAACAATACTTTTAATCCCTGATTTCCTGTTTCAAGATTAATCAATTTAAAAAAAAATGTTGGGAAAAAATACTTAAATAAAAAAAGAATATATATATATGTATATATACATTTACCATTAACCGATTATTATTATCTAAAAAAATTTTTAATTACTTTTCGTGGTTTTAAACTGAATAAATTTGAACGGGTCAGGGACAGATGGAGGCCCAATAGAGATGAGTTGAGCCAGGCCCAGTGCTTTTATCTTTTTCCTTCTTCTCTGCAGTAAACCCTGGTTCTGAATTAGGGTTTAAGGCTTTTTGTTTTTTTTGGTTTTGATGATTCAAGCTTGAATTGAAAAAAATTTAAAAAAAAAAGAGAGAAAGAAATGGAGGAAGTGAAGAAAAAGAGTGTGCCAATTCTTCCATGGATGAGAAGCCCCATTGATGTGAGTCTCTTTGAAGATTGCCCACTCAGTCTTGTCCCTTGTCTTGACCCCAGGTACTTTCATAGGAAGTTCTGTTTTTTTTTTATTCATCCTTTTAACTGTATTTTTTAATATTCCCTTTTTTCTCACAGCCTCAGCTTGCATTGCAGAATTTTTTGTAGGACCGTTGACAAGTTTACTTAATATTGAAATATTTTTGAAGATTGACGAGTTTGATTATCCGATTTCTTTTGAGTAAGGTTGGAGGTCGCTTTGGAGAAAATGGGTATCTCGTCACTCTTCCCAGTGCAAGTTGCAGTATGGCAAGAGACAATAGGGCCTGGTGCTTTCGAGCGAGATCTCTGCATAAATTCACCAACAGGAAGTGGGAAGACCTTAGCCTATGCTTTGCCCATAGTGCAAATGCTGTCGACTCGTGCTGTTAAATGTTTACGGGCTTTGGTAGTGTTGCCAACACGTGATTTGGCTGTGCAGGTAATTGCCTTTTCTCCTGTTTAACAATTCGCACTTTGTTTGTGCTTTTTTTCTCTGTCAAGCAAATAAGAGGAATAACTGACTTTATTAAGCAACCTGGTGAATTCTGATTTATTCAAGAAACAATTTGTTGAGCTATTCAAAGAGAAAGCAACCTGGTGTTAAAATTAATAAAAAAAAATTCCTCTTATAAATCTCAATATAATTACCTGAAACTGTCCATTATGCTATTTTTTTGGTCATTTGTCTCCTTCTATTTTTAAGGTACTTTGCTATTGTGCCTAACTGTTATGACAGGTTACAATGCTGGTTTTTGGTTCCTTTTGTTCAGGTTAAGGATGTTTTTGCAGCCATTGCACCTGCAGTAGGCTTGTCTGTTGGTTTAGCAGTGGGTCAATCTTCAATTGCTGATGAAATATCGGACCTTATTAAGAGGCCTAAGCTTGAGGCAGGCATCTGTTATGACCCAGAAGATCTTGCATACGAATTGCAAAGTTCTGTGGATATATTGGTGGCAACTCCAGGAAGGCTTATGGACCATATCAACTCCACTAAGGGATTTACGCTTGAGCATCTCCATTATCTTGTAAGTAAGTGGACTGCGTGTATGCATTCTAACCTCTGTTGGGGCCTGACTACTATTAATTTCCAATGATATTTTTAGAATGTTTGAAATTTGAAATTTAATGTTTGTGCTAAAGATTGTTCATGGGATTGAAACATTTTACTGGAAACCTGACTGTCTGAGGGTTTCACTGTGCTTGTCAAGGTTTGGCTAGGAATGTTACAAATCCTATCTTAAATTTTATACTGACATCAATTTAGGTGATATGTTCTGGATAAGTTTTTCTTTTATGCTACAAACACCTGGAACTATTTGTTCACTGATCTGGATTCTAGTTTCTGGACCATGCCTTTGACAGTTTCACAATTTTTTAAAGATATTGAAGAACACACTTGTAACATTGGTATCCTACCTATGCATAGTACTTTATGGTTTAATTAACCTTCTCCTTAACTTTTTCGTTAATTATAAGTGTGACTCCTAATTTGGGGGTCAGATTTAGCTGTTAAAATAATGACTTCTGTTTATGAAGGAAAAAGGAGGCTATTTTATGATTCTTTGGTTTTGAGTCAATTGTTTTTGTGGTTAAACATGGTGCTGATGGATAAATTGTTCCAGGTAGTTGATGAAACAGATCGGCTGCTCAGGGAAGCATACCAGTCTTGGCTACCAACTGTGCTTCAGTTGACTCAATCTAATGATGAAAGCCTCTTTCCTTATGCAGATTCTTTTCTTTCATCTACATTCGGTTCCTTAAAAACCATAAGGAGATTGTAAGTTCTATGCTTGTTATGGTCTTTTTCTTAAGCTATGCTTTGAACTTCAGCAATAAGCATCATTACAAATGGTCTGAAGTCTGAACTTAGTTTCACTTTTGATAATCAGTTCCTATCTATCAGAAATACATTTTCGCACAGACACATTTACATGCATATGGCATGTGTACATAGGCGTGCAAGTGCGCGTGCACGTGTGTATTTGCTGGAACTAGCTTTCCTGCAAGGTGGAATGTTTTTAAGATAGTCTTATGCTTTTAGGCATGTTTGTATTAGCTTTTTCCTTCTTTAAAAAGTTTTGCTTTCTCCTATTTGAGGAGTGATTTTCCATTTTTTCTTTAAAAGATGTAGCTCTAAGCAAAAGCAAAATGACAAATAGCATGTTGTGATATCTAGTCATCATTTTTTTTTCTTTAATTATATATAATATTTAAAAAATACTAAGTAAAACTGCTTAAAGTAGCTTTAAAAAAAAACTGCTTAAAATAGTTTACTCTCTGGATATTGATATTATAACTGCTATAAATGCTTGAAACCACCTCCACTGGTATCTCTGGGACTGTTGGGAATGGTAACTGAGTTCCTTGACAATTATTGACAGTTTTCTGACCCTTAAATTTGGGATATTTTCTCAAGTTATTTGTTTCTGTTTGAAAGAGTAAGAGAACCATATTTTATGAAATCCAGCATCATCATGATATCATTACATATTTGATGCAGTGGCGTCGAAAGGGGGTTCAAGGGTAAATCTTACCCTAGGCTTGTGAAGATGGTTTTATCTGCCACATTAACACAAGATCCAAGCAAGCTTGCTCAGCTTAGTCTGCACCACCCTTTGCTGATGACAACAGGGAAAAGGCGTTACCAGCTCCCTGAAAAATTGGAATCGTACAAACTTGTATGCTACATTAACCCTTCTGGTGAATATATGTACTTTGGTCTTTGTGAGTCTGTTGGTATTTCAACCTCTTGAGCACCAATGTTCACAAGCTTCCTTCATTATGTTCATATTTATTTAAAAATATGGGGTTTTAAGTTACTTTCAACAAAAAAGTTGAGGGTCTTAATATTTTCTTTTGTCCAAAAGCTCACTTAAAGTTCTCCATCGGTTTTGTTGTCAAATGTCAGGACATTATTTCATGTTTTAGCAGTTTATGTAAAATCAGATTGGACTTTTTCTCCTTGTGAATTTTCAAATACTATACATGTACACAGAATCATAGAACACTCGAAATATTTTGAAATTAAGAGGCCTTGTTGGCATAAGTGATAACTATACTGCATGAATCTTGAAAGGAAAATTTCAATCGATTCAATAATGTCAAATCCCATTCTGGAGCTAATGTCGAAGCTTGTGAATTTAGTTTCTAATGCACTAGATGCTTTCTTTTTTCTTTTTTATTGTGTTAAATTTCTATATATATATATTCTACAGATATGTGACTCAAACGTAAGGCCTCTGTATTTGGTTGCCCTTCTACAAGAATTAGGAGAAGAGAAGTGCATTGTTTTCACCTCATCCACCGAGTCAACTCATCGCCTTTGTACGTTGCTAAACCTTTTTGGTGATTTAAGTATAAAAATTAAAGAGTATTCAGGCCTTCAGCGTCAATCTGTAAGAAGGTAATGCCTGGATTATTTTCACCCAATTTATGTTCATGCTCAGCACTGGCTTCTATTTCTCATCTTCATAAATAAACAATTTTCTCTGCTTGAATGAGCCTTTTGCAGCCCATTGACAATTCTTCTTTGAAGGCATTTGAGTATTGTTTTACGAAACTGAACAATTTTGTGTCATCTTAAGTGCTAAAGAACTACAATTGATTGAGTTCACTAATGTAATTCTTGTAAAAATTCACAGTAATCTTTCTGCTGGTTTTAGTGCTAGTTTAACCTTTGATTGAATGGGAAAATTTTTGTTAATCTTTCTTATTGAGCTTCTTGATTTTAGTTGAATATCAAATGGATCAAATGATATAACAAAGGAGGATAAAATGATGGAAACTGAACGGAACAAAAGGACAGGTCTTTGGGATAGAACAGAGATGGTAAGGAAATGAGAACTAACTCTGTCTTTCTTTATTTGCTTGAGAGGCAGAAAAAGAATATGATAGAAGCAATGGTGTAATGTATATCAGTATACATTCGCTCCTCTGAAAAACTTCCTTTCCCCTTTATTGTTTGACAATTTTCTGACTAACGGTTTTGGTGGATTCATAAAGAACATTGATCCTCACAAATTGCTTTCCCCCCATGATTTTTAGCGAAACAAGAAATGGTTATCCCTGTATCCTTTTTTCTGCATTTTTCCTTTTCTGGCTACCACATCTGCTGAAAATTTGTAGTGTTTTATATTTGAACTCTATTTCCTTATTGATAAAACTGACTATAATTTCTATGAGTTGATTGTAAATATTCTTCATGACTTTTAATGAAATGAAACTTTGTGCTGCAGCAAGACATTGAAGGCATTCCGGGAAGGGAAGGTGCAAGTACTTGTATCCTCTGATGCAATGACTCGTGGAATGGATGTTGAAGGGGTGAGAAATGTCATTAATTATGATATGCCTCCATATATAAAGACCTATATTCATCGAGCTGGTCGGACTGCTAGAGCAGGTCAAGCTGGGCGTTGCTTCACATTGCTCCATAAACATGAGGTATGTGAACATATCGATTGCTTCCAACCATGAACATCATATGTCAAGGTGCGGATAGAATTTTTGTTCTATCCTTGTTTTTATTATAAATTTTTTGGTCCCTATTCAGTAAGACAAATATTTATACAATTTGAAACATGTAAGACATATAGTCTTCATTTTCTTAGTATAAAAGTTATCCTGTGACATGGTTGTGGACTTTGTTTTATTCTTTTACTTGTTTCAGGTAAAACGTTTCAAGAAGATGTTAGGGAAAGCAGACAATGACTCCGTTCCTCATTACTCTGTTCCTTCTAGTTCAATTGAGTCACTGCATGCTGCATATAGCTCTGGTAACTTCTTAGCTCTACTTATCCACGGCCAAGCCGATAATAATATTCTGCAATTGTTCAGACTCATATGAGATCTTTGGATTAATCCCACACAGTTGCTAGCCTCCTTTTTCCAATCATTTGCCTCATTAATCCTCCTTTTGTTTTGGGTTGGGGAGGGGGGAGGGATATCTTGGGACCAACTCTTCAGAGGTTAGGTATGGCTTAATGTTCCAAAAGTTAATGAATTTTTTGATCCAGATTATTTGATTGGCTGTTTACACGTTTCTCTCCTTGTATATTTTCCAGTGCTGTTTCACTTGTTACAGATGGAAGGGGGTGAAGGAGAAATTATAGCAAATTTGTTTCTTATCTTGATCAAATGCAAAAATGATTTCAAGTATGAACTGTCTTATAGAAGCTTTAGCTTTCCATTTTAGTGAAAGGATATACTGTTGGCCAGACAATACACCTAGTTATCCTGATGTAGTCAAAAGATTTAGGGCAATTAGACTTAATTAGGCTAGAATAGGGTTGATTGTGTTGGAACAATAGAAAGATAATTAGGTTTTTTAAAAGAAACCTCTTGAATAAATATTCAAAATAACAAAAGATGATAATAAAATCTTCTATCTAAGATCACCTATTTATAATAGCTAAGATAAATCCCAATCAAATAGTAATCCTAATCCTAAATAAAGACTTAAAGTACTAAAATTCTAATAAAGATAGGAAAAAGAATTTCAAACTAAATAAAATTAAGAAAATAAAATCCTAAGCTAACGAAAATACTAAATAAAATAAAATTCTTGATGCGCCTGCATCAGTCCCCTCGGTTTAGAAAAACTCGGTTCCGACGAGTAGACCTTAATATTCTTCTCATAGCTGTCTGGATTCACTTGTTTCAACTTCTCTTCATTATTACCTTTAGCTTCAAAATTTTCAGCAGATAAATACTCAACAATTTTGCTGCTTGTGGGGCTTAGAGTTGCCAATTGTTTAGTCTCTTCTTTAAGAGGATATAAAG